GTTGTTGCTAGAATTCGTCGTAGCCCAAATTGTGCTTCTTCTCAGTGGCCCAAAGGTAAGGTGGCTCAGCATTGTTGCATTGCGAAGTTGTTCACGGTTAGCCATGAGAGTAAGCAATACTGTCTCCTGCTTTACATTCAATTTGATGGGAGCCGCAAATTTGGTCACAAGCTTGGCCAGCCGTTGAACCTGCAGTATATTCTCTGCAATGCCTTTAACCACGATGACTGCACGCCTAAATGTGTCCACTGATATGTCATTAGAACATTGCTCACTAGTGCGCTTCACAGTGCATTACCGTACGCAGCGTTAGATGATGCTAGGGCCTCCGCCTTTCCTAATATCAAAGTTAGTGTTTTTGACCCCATTGGCTCAGGTGAATTCGGTGAGGTGGTGTTTATACGGCATCTTATAGCTCGAGTCGCCGGCGACGCTTTTCTATGAGTAGAGGCTCTGCTGGGCTTGCTTTGATCGTCGTAGAATTTTTCTACTATGTCCGTGCTAACCGGATTAATTAAAAGGTGCGTTAGCGTTTCGCCCATCATTGTCCCTTCCGGTATAGCAGGTCGAGGTATGTCAGCAGCTGAGCAGTTAGTATGAACTAAGACGTTTCCCGTATTGTTCTCAGGTTGTTGGGGTTTTGTGGATAGTACTGTTCCCAGGGTTTGTAGATTCTTCCAATAAATCAAGCCATTAAGTACCATAGCAGACGAGATGGCTAGATTCACAGGAGGTTAAACACTTAATTTCATAGGCGCCGGAGCGTTGTTGCAGCTCGCTGGAACACCTCTAGTCGGCGCGGAGCTCTCTCTTTACCTTTCGTAACAGCGTTGCAAAGCCGTTCTTGCTGGTACTAACATTAACTCAACGAATGTCATGCGGGTACTAAATTTGCTTGAGAAATTGAGAAATTTTAGAGCCGAGCTGTTATCCTTGAACTGACCTAATGGGGGCATTGGTTTTTTATAACCCCGTTTTCTCAGCGTTGTGCAGCTCCTAAGGTGGTGTTACGAGCAACACACTTTCATCATAATTTTGTTAATGGTGTGCAACTGTGGGCGCTCGGGAACAGTATACACTACCTCAATATACCACATTACACCTCAGTACACACTATACACTGCCTCATAAAGACGGTGTAGCCGATTCAGCACTTCTTTGCAATTCGCGATGAGGAACCATGAGCCATCTCCTCCCGCTTATCCTCCATACAGTCGTCGGGATGAAACATCGTCGCAAAGGCTGTCAGTCTATCTGTACGTAGTTTCAATATGTTTTAAAGCTGTTTGAACTATACCACATCATTCTGAAGGTGGGCCATTTGGAAACTCAGAGAAAAGAAACCCGTTAGATTAGCGGTGCATAGTATAGTTTTACCAGCTGAGTACTTGCCGGTAATTCTAGCTTTTACCGGGTACGTCCCACGGGTCTCATGACCTTGATTGTGATGTCAAGCCGACATCCACAGACCACGGTGAAAGAAAATGGGTGTTAAAAAGGAAGGAGAATGGTGGCTGCACTGTAAATTTGACGACAATTAATATGAGAATCATGATAGAAGATACTCTAGATACAAAAGCGCCTTTGAAAGCCTGAACAAATTGTGAGTGGGACAAAGCGGACCTGGTTACCGAGCACAGCAAGCCAGACTAATCCATGCTGATTAAGAAGGACAGACAAACTTGTGTAGTGATGCGAGCGTAGACTAGAATATGGGACTGGCGCTTAGAATATATAAATAATTATTTTAGGGCTAGGCGATGGACCAAGTAATGGGTTGAAGCAGTACGTACAGTATGGGAGGTGTAAGCAAAGGAGGGGATGGGACATATGAAGATCAAGTAGTGAGAAGTCGGTGCTGGTGGAATAAAGAAACCATCATTCTACTGTTAAAGGGACTGACTACTACAGAACACGCTATATCCAGAAGGCAAAGTAGAATAAACCAGGTTGCGTACAGAACATTGGAAGACTTTTATGGACGAGACAGACTTTAATGAAAGAGGAAACCCATAGTTGGGCTGATGAGACGCAAGGCTCATTCAGAGACTGGATTATACAATTAGGAAAGCAAGAACGTGCATAAATAAAAATATCAAGCGAGGACTAGAAGTAAGTGGCTGAAGCGATGACGCAAATATTTGTGCATATAGACACCTTACATTTAAAATGCGTCGAGTGCTGAGTACAGTTAACACTAGCGGAACATTACATAAGCAAAGAATGAAATATTTTCTCGGAACTCCATCGATCTTTTGCTCACTGTCCCAGTCCTCTGGGGTTGTGAAGTAATTAGGACGCCGGGATTTCAACTGAGGAACTGCCATTCCAACTTAGATAAAAGAAGTAACCCACGGAGTCTCACTTGTACCATGGCTTCGCCTCAAAATGATTAGCCTGCACTCTCTAACGTGACAGACGTCCAGGGTAGCTAACTAGACACAAAGTCTACACCAGCAGGAAAAGTATACAAAAATCACTAGGTCAGCCCATAGATATTTCGAACTTTCTGTTCGAAATATCTTTCGAACTTTCTATTCGCTCGACTCCTCCAGCTTACTACCATTCCTTCAAGCCGCTCTACAAAGCGATAATCGTCAATTTGATCTTCTCTTGCAACTGCCACTGTCGCCACTAGACAGTATTTTCCAAGTCACCTTGCTTCGCCTCAGTCCTACGTCGCATCGCTGCCTACCCTCTACCGTCTGGCTCGATAGCACGCACGTCGCCTATCTACCCTAAAGAACGCGTGACTCATCTGGCCGCGACACGCCTGGACTCACTGACCTCAAACCAGCGCCGATCGTCACGCAACGTTGCGTCAGTATCTCTATCCTCTTTCTACCCATTAAAACAGCACCCCTACTGCGAACATGCCTCGTAAGAAGAGCAAATGCGAATCATGTGCTAAAGTGGTAAAAAGTGGTTTAGTGCGTACCATGTGTTTGAAAACCTATCACACTACCTGCCTTGGGAAGTGGTCGACGAAAGCAAACACCGCAGTGGCGTTTTGGTTCTGCTAAGGATGCAAGTCTATTCCGTTTGTTAGCTATCTATCTGTGCTACGGAAGAGGTGTGAAAGATTAACCGAGGCAGTCGAGCAACTGGTGAGCGCCCGAGTTACACCCATGGGAGGAAACGTACCTGCACTTGGGTGTGAAAACAACACCCCGAAGTCCCTAGTCAAGCCGAAGAAGCGAGCAAGGCGTCCCAACCCAAACCCAACGACTCAGCCTCCAGCAGTATCCACTCTTTTCTCTCTCCCTCCTATAGGTAAAAACAGTGCCTGCAGCGCGCCTGCCTCAACTTCTGTACTGTGTGCTGCACCTAGTAGTGCGTTCACTATACTCGAGACTGTAAGTTACCGTCAACCAGCATAGTGGACAAGCCGGAAACGTACGCATCGGTTGCCGCCAAGCAAACACCGGAAAGAGCACCGGTAACCTTTGTGCCCGGACTAGAGAAAACAAAACTGCCGCAGCACGGATGGCACACACCAGTGCCGTTCACAACTCCAACAAAACCACCGAATACACAACCTCCAAACCCAAAACCAGTGGCCACCAGGCGCAACCATGGTGCCCTAAACATTGTATGCACAAGTGTCCCAGAATGCAAATCCGGTACCATTAAGGGTAAGTTGACGGACGATCGAACTCAGTGGGATTCCATCTGATTCCATCCCACGAAATTAAGAAGGGTCTCGCGCCACCCAAACGCGTTGCACTACGGTAAACCCCGGTTACTTCCGGTAACACCAACCTCGGCGGACGCGACTGAGGTCGTTCTGCTGTCTGCGAATCGTCTTCGCAACGACTCAAGTGGAGTGCGCATGCTACCCAAAATCCCGTGGAAAGAACGTTCAGGGGATCTCGCTAACAAAGATAGGTACAGAAAAGTCAAGATAAGAAAACAGTGATTGCTCACGGAGTTCCTGAGCTTACTGACTCCTCTTCCGACGATGCTCAGATGCACGAGCGCGAGCAATGGCACTACATCCGGGAGGCTCCTTTTCTCGAAAATGCGGTGGTCACCGCGTTGACGAGGATCCCCATGTCACCAACCTATAAGGGGTGCGGTCCCAGGCTGTTAAACTTTGTTACAATCAGAACTAATGGCCCAAACCCTACTAGCGAACTGGATTAAATTCCGTTGCAGATTGCCAACAGAAATTCGTCTGAAAGCAACAGGAACACCAAAATCTACTAATGACCGTTCAGTAGAGGCAAAATTCTTAATGAAAAAGCCAACTGCAGGATCCGACTCAGGGATGGTTTCAGGAGTAGCCATACTATCCGGAAGGGCCCAGCAGAGCACGAGCAAACACCGGGATTCGGGGCCGCTAATACCTGGTCATTTATCAAAACATTTCGACAGTATGCAACCCATCCAAAAATTGATTACACACCGACCCTTTAATGGTCAGCGCAAACCCATTGCTTTATCCATCCAAGCTAACACAAACTTGGTCTCCGAGAAGTTCTCATACATGTACACAAATGCCCAAGGTCTACTCAGCAAATTAGCTGAACTAAGGCTGCGACACGCGCAGCAGCTTTGGACCTCATCGCTGTCACCTAAACGTGGTTGAGCTGCGCGATAACGGAAGCTGAAATTGTACTAACAGGCAAGTCCGTTGTCCGGGAGGATCGAACAAGGAAAGTTGGTGGAGTAGCACATTATTTTCGTAACGATATGCAATGCGAACGCATAAACGAATCGGAAACTGACGTACCTGACGCCATTTGGTGTAATTTCCGGCTAAGAGGGAACAATCATGGCCTACTGGTTGTTGTTTACCGCTCACCATCGTCTACTCCTGAGATGGACTACAATTTGATGGCTGCGTTGAGGCAAGTGATAAAGATGAAATACAGTCACATGCTAGTCACCGGTGACTTCAACCTACATGTCCTCGAAGCCCGGGCCACACCAGGAGAGCAATTTAAAGCAGAGATGCAAAATCTGCTTTCGACTACCCTTTTTATGGCCACGGCACTATGCCCACCAGATTCAGGGGAATTGACAGGCCATCCATAGAGGACCGAATATTCACCAATGAAGAATTAATGGTCAAGAAAGTAATACCCGATATTCCTTTGGGCCGCTGTGATCATGCGACGCTATTGTTTCATTACGTGTGCTACGCGGATTATCCTAAAAAGCATGCCGAGGAATATCGTGTCATAACCAAATATGAAGACTTGTCCGACCTCCTTGATGCAACCACCTGGTCATTCTTAGCTGAATTAACCCTTGAGGTGGCCTGTGGTGAATTCGTCAACAAATTTACCAAGCTCGTGGCAAAGACATCTGAAATTAAACGCTACCGGACTAAAAGAATGAAGTATTTCTTAAAGAGCAGGACATGTAAATGCATGGCATTAAGGGACTTGGCATGGCACAAATATATAACCTCCCTGAACGACTACACCTGGGATATCTACACAATACACAGGGACAATTGTGTCAAACGCGTCCGGGAAAATAAACTTAAGAACCAACAAGATCTAATGAAAAAGTTCTGCTCCAAACTCAAACTGCTGTACAGGCACGTAAACAATTTGCGCAGTGCTAAGCGCGGTATACCTGCTTTGCATACGGCTTGCTGGTTAGCCTATACCGCAAAAGAGGCAATCAAAGTCCTTGGACAACAATTTGGCCGTGCCTTCCAGAACGCGCAATCATCATACATCCTGCCTAAGAAGATAACGCCGCCATCAGGGCTTAAGCACATACCGTTCACCTACGCAGCTGTACTGGAGAGGCTGATGTCTCTGCGCGAGTTCAGCTCCCCGGGTGCGGACCGCATTCGCCCGAAGGCGTTTAAAGTTGCCGCCATGAATTTTGCAGGACCACTAGCAATTTTCTTTTAACGATGTCTGAACGAGATGCACGTCCCCACGATGTGGAAGCACGGAATCATCACACCTATCTACAAAAATGGTGACCTTGCTGAACCGACAAATTAGCGCCCGATAACACTACTTCCTGTGATCTCCAACGTTATGAAGTCCATCGTAGCTGACGCTTTAATGAGGTACCTAGAAAACAACAAAATTCTCGTTCCGGAACAGCATGGATTTCGCCAAAATCGCTCCGGCTCCACTAATCTGTTGATTGCTCTTGCAAACTGGACGGAATCTGTGGACGTTGGTGCAGGAGTCGACGCGGCCTACTTGGATTTTTCAAAGGCATTCGACCGTAAAGACCATCGCATTCTCCTTCACCAACTTCAGCAATATGGAAGCAGTGTTCCTGTTCTGGGTTGGATAGGAGAATTTCTCGTGCAACGTCACCTAAAAGTCAGGGTTCGAAGCAACTTAACAGAATCCATCGGTTCAGTGCGGCATACCTCAAGGCTCGGTACTTGGCCCCCGCCTGTTCCTGGTCTTCATAAATGCTCTCGCGAGTGTGCTATCTTCTAACTGTTTGCTATTTGCTGTTGACCTAAACGTATGGCGTACTATAGCTGCAGTAGTGATCACACAGTGTTAAGGGACGACCTGGACAAAGCCTACACATGGTCCATCGAGAACGTACTGCATTTCAACACCGCCAAGTACAAAGTGCTCAGTGTACGGCACGAGAGCATGCACAACTACCGACTAGGACCACAAATTCTACAACAAGCTTCTCACGAGTGCGATCTCGGCGTGATAGTTCAAGATGACCTCGGTTGTTCCAGGCAGACTGAAAAGACAGTTAAGAGCGCGAACCAGTACCTCGGCCTTCTTTGCAGCCTTTGGGAAGTTTGGCCCTTCGATCTTTCCAAAAATGCTTAATGCGTACCTGAGGCCGCATGCGGAATACGCTAGCCAAGCGTGACAACCCTGGCTCGAGCACCAGCTCGCCGCGTTCGATACTGCACAACGTAGGGCAACGAAGAGCGTCAGAGGTTTGCCCAGCCTCCCCTAACCACTCAGGCTGAAGACCCTCAAAATATACAGTGGACGTTATTGGCGTCTAAGGGGCGATCTCATAATGGTGTACCAGATCCTGAGAAACCTCAACAACCCATGTCATTCCCAACTAATACTCGGTCAAACACCTCGCTAAAAGGTTACCAGTTTAAGTTAGTCACGCAGTACAGCCGCATGGAATGTCGGCGAGACGATTTCTCCCTTCGAGTGGCACAGCCTTGGAATGCCTTCCCGGAACATGTAATTAATGCACCCAACCTATCCCTTTTCAAAAAGCGCCTTGACGATACTCTGTCACATTTACACTACGTGCTCTAGCTCATGACAACCAGCCGCTAGCACTAATGCACAACTGACAGGGGATAGTGCCAAAATCCTACTCGAGAATGAGTCACTCCAAGGGCCTTGCAAGAAATTTGATAAACGCTACTACTATAGAAATTGGATTTCTGTATCCGAGTAAGCGTTGTCCTTGCTATTATTTTATTTTTGTCGCCTATGTGAACAATAACCACTCCCCTTATTTCTTTGTGCGCGTACATTCTCATTCCTAACTGTCTTTATAAGACATTGCAATTACCTCTGTAAGCGCGCGAATTGATGACTCCATTATCCCTTTGCTATCTTTTTTGTCCCGCTAAACACTCTACGGGACATGTCAAGCACCTGGTTTCGTACCCGTTATAAATCATTGTTTATTGTTCTTCTATCCTCGACCGTCCTCAACGACGTTAGCGGCCCTGACCAAGCTATTCGGTCGACCTACAATGAATTTAGGCATCGATCGACCACGAATAACCGCGAGGAATATCGGGCTAGGAGAAGAGTTGCCAGTTGTACATAGCCTTCCAAATGTATCGACGACCGTATTCCAGGACCAGGTGGGTTTTCGCCTGCAAGCCTCCTCCCTAGAATCAGCAACTAAGGTCCATTTAACAACCCTGTAACGTAGCGGATGTGAATGGCCAACCGAATAAAGACGCTGCTCACAATTGCACACTGGCAAGTTGGGGACCTGGGATTGGACCGAGAAAGAGTTTTTGACCGGGACAGGATATAACCCACAAGGATCTAAAACGAACATGCCTGTATAACAAATGGATACAACTGCACTCACCTCAACGACGTTGTCCAGTAACGATAGTTGGACACGAGGCCTTCACCCGCTTGAAAAGGATACATAAACCTGAAAAATACAGACGCAAGACACAGACATTTTGCTCACATGGACACTCACATAGATGACTCGTCGTGAAGCTCTCACCGTCCATGGGCCACAGCCATTATGGCCGCCCTAACCAAAGATACCTGATCAATTAACAGAGGAAAATGGAAATCAGTTGACTGCGGATAATCGATGGTGAAATTAGCTGACAAGCTGCTCTGCAAATTTTACGTTAGCGTACAAACGTATTTCTGACAGTGTTCCAGGACGTGGCCAGTTTTCGCCTGGCAAGCGTTCTCCCTGTCCGCTTAACAACATTGCGACGTGGCGGATGTGACTCGCCCGTGAATAAAGTCAATGCCAACAAATGCACAGTGGCAAGTCGACTAGAAACTTAACTTAATATTTTCCTGTCACATTCAAGAGTAAGATACCCCATGCCTACATGTATCGTTTTCACTACTCATACACTGCCCAGGTAGTTTACACTACGCACGCGAGAACCCAATGTGTCGTCATGCATTGACGACTTTATTCCTTATGCTTAACTTTTAAAATTTCAAAGCCTGTACAACTTTCGGCTTACTGTCGAGTACATATATAGCAACGTGTTTGTTGCGAAATGTAATTGCGTGTAAAGGTTGATCATGCCCGGTTTCGTGTGTCTCGACAAATTCGAGAATATACTATTTATTTATTTAGATTCATGGTTGATTACTTTTTCGAATCGTGCAAAAAGATACTCCTTTTAAATGAACAAATAAATTTTATTTCGGCTACGCGAGGCGCACCACTGAACGCATGATCAAAGCAGTAGTACAACGACTGAACAAGGAATTTGTAATGGTATGATAGGAGTTGCGAATAAGCGCTTCCATAAATTTAGGTATATAGCTAGTGTGTTGCTCGTGTTTGTAAATATGTTGCTGTTTTTCTGAATGATTTCTACCCAGTCGTCTATGTCTAACGTAAACTTGGCCGTGTGCACATTTTATAGCATTGTCCGAGTAAGCAATGCATTGCTTTTGTTTAGTGGCGAGTCACCTCGGCTATGTCACGGTGTTGTTAGGAAGCAATCTGTGGCTGTTCATTTGGAGAACTCTTTTCAGGCGAAAACGAACCACGTCCCGGAACACTGCCGCCGAACTTTTAGCTGGAACGAGTTAACTTCGAACCCTCCAGTTGGAACCACGGGGAGGTTGTTCGGCTAGCCAGTCACTTGTCGCCACTATTTAGCTTACTGCGTGCTTAAGGATTACCCTACGTGCACAGGAATGCATATTATTGTCATCGCACTGACGACTGTTTACCCGAGTAGCTTACCTATTGCTGTAATTTGTAGAGCACTTGGCTACAGCCGCTTACATGCATAGCAACGCGTCTGTTGTGAAACATAATTGCTTGTAAATTGTGATCCTGCCTAAGATAGTTTGCCTTAATTCATTAGAGAACAAATATATTTTTTTATCTTTGCACTCCTCATTGCGCTTTGGAATAGAATGAAATTTTTCCGCTACTTCAACCAGACTACTCGTCGACCAAGTTGTGAGTGACGTATAGATGAAGGCAAACCGCTGATCATGCCTTCAATGGCGGGTCTCAGGTGGAATCCAGAAGTTAATATTTATTCATTTTTAGGGCTTTCAAGTAAGACGAGTTCGTAGCTTGCTTGTCCCCGCACACGCAACAACTTCAGTCTGTGCAATCCGGTACACATGACTTACATATCAACGTGGAGGCACTCCTTACCAATTGCAACCACCTGTTCGTTGGCACTGACAGTGTACGCCAGACAAGCGCGCCCTGGTATTCTGGCCATTACGGCGTTGTAGACAATATCCGCAGCATATTTACCGTCGACCACAAGGTGCAAACTAGGATTATCAACACTGACCGTCCTATGCCCTCATTGCTTGAAAACTTTGATGTTCGACGCTACGAGCAGCTTCTTAGCCTGCGCCATCAAGGTAGATGAGGAGCGCTCGGACCAGTGGATGCCTCAGTGGAACCAACAGCTATAACCGAGCTCATCCTGGTTCCACCGGTTGTAAATAAGTGTGATAGTTGTTCATTGGTGTGTAGAGGAAGGAGTGGAAGCCCACTGTCGATTCCGATTCAATGCGGGTTTGAAGCAACTGGCCACGAAGCGCAATTCCGCTTGGTATGGTCGCCGTTGCGAAACAGCAGCACGACCCTGTCGTACTCATCAGCTGTGAGTCAAGCAGCCTAGTGGTAGGAAAGTCAAAAATGCAGCCCGTCTTTCAGAATTGGGTTGCGTTGGTTATTCTGCATGGAGCATGTATTTGCTCCCTGGGTACTTCGTCTTTATGCTCTTACTCAAATTAAGCTAGGTCAATAAACAAATGGACTTTTCAAACTGGAAAAACAAATGCTAAAACCCATAAAACAGCATATCTTTTTCTCTTTACAACAAAACTTTGTGTACTTAGCTACGTGTTTACACCGCTTCATTTACTTTCCCTTACAGCACACCGTCACTTGGTCGTTCCTCGTTTAACACGTGGGGGTACCTTTAGCTGGATTTACCCACATCAACATGAAACGCCACAAAATTACCGCTCAGCCAGTTGCCCATTTTTATTTGACCTTGTCCCCAAACATTTTTCCGTTTCGACACACTTGGTGTCGATGGGACCCATTGCCGCTAGCGCTCCCATACAGATACGACAGGTGTTATCAACTGGTCCCAAGGGAGGCTGGATAGCCCTCATATTTATTGATGAAATATTTAAATCGTCCATTCTGGGGAAGGCAATGGTGAAGTTGGAAAGCGCACCCGTTTGCCATATTTCCAAATCCTGAAAAAGCTTACCCCTTTAATGTACACTTGAGCTTTGGTTGGGAAGTGCTGAACTGCACTTTAATTACTAATTCTTGGGTCAATTACTGCCTCTGCTTGGCGATCATATCGGTCGCGACGGGCTTTCTTCGTTCTACCTAACTAGCGGCGTAGACAATATACACTATAGCTAGTTCAACACGAAATTCCTTTCCTTACAAACTGACGCTTCCTCGCAACTTCCTTAGCCTTTTGGAATCGCCTTCTGGGTTCCCACTAAAATTCTTGTGGTAAGCAGCCGTCCGAGAAGACGATACAGGCGTTTAAGCAACAGCATCCTTGAAACTTGCAATTTTCAGACTTCTTTCATAATGTTGTTAAGGTAGTTGGGCTGCATAAATGTGCTGCGCAGTGGGTGCATGTGACTTGTGAAGTCGTACAAACTCTAGGAAACTTCAATCCACCCTCGAGTAGAGTGACCTTGCAGATCAACTGACAAAGAGGTGGAAAAAGAAAGAATCTGCCAAGCATACGCCACTC